GTCTTGATTGTGGTGTCATTTTCGTTGGTGTTCGTGAATGTCAACACTTGTCAAGTTGTACGTCTTAAACACATAGAGCTTGCTGCTTATTAATTATATTCCGATAAGATTACTAATAAGACTGCCATATAAAACATTCTTTGGAGACAAAGTCTTTTATGTTGTTCAGATGCCCTCAACTCACCATCTTCCTGCCCCCACTCTGAATAGTAAGATTACCATCAAGTGTCTACCTGTGTATACACACACACACACACACACACACACACACACACTTTTGAGAGAGGTTTTCATTGTGTTTAGCTTGGCTGACATGAAATTCTAAGTATTCTAGATCATCCTCAAACTTGCAGCAATCCTCCTGCCTCTGACTCATGAGTGCTGGGCTATAGGCATTGGATTCCAAATATTGTTAATGATGCTGCTCCATCACGGATTTTAAAACAACTTATCATTAAACAACTATGGAAAGATTATTAAAAAGTAAAGGGAATTGGGAGAATTTTGAAAAGGATAGATAATCAAACCACTAACTATTGCATTTATAAAGCACATTTAAAGTAATAATTAGAGAATAATTCATGGCTGCAAACACTATGCCTATAAGCAATGAAGAATCAAAATAGCCTACTTCAAAAATATATGTAACGCTTCTCCAAAAACTCGCAAGAAAGGAAGCCATTACTATAAATAGATGAGCAGCTGATACGGAGAACAGGAAACTAGTAGAGTAAAAACCCAGGGTTAGGGCCTGGAGCGATGACTCAGCGGTTGCAGAGGACTTGAGTTCACTGCATGCTGGGCAGTTCACAACTGCCTGCAACTCCAACTCCAGGGGATCCAATGTATCTCTTCTTGCCCTTGCTGCCACTGCACTCAAATGTACACACCTACACACAGGTGCACACATACACATAAATAAAAAATCAGTAAGATAAAATCGCTTTAAATTGCAGGTTTAAAATTAACAAAAATAAAGTAGGGGCTCATATAATAGTGCGTGTGTGTGTGTGTGTGTGTGTGTGTGTGTGTGTGTGTTTATTGGCAAGGCAGAAACATCCACTAATCTAGAGACAACGTCCTTTTTAAATGAATAGCCTACTTTTCACATATTTATATGAACACACTCAGTGAAAATAGTAAGGGTGGAAGGTCACTGCTGTAAGTTGGTATATGTTTTGACATTTAGAATCACGTTAGCATTTCACATATTCAAAGAATAAAGTAAAGCTAACCTGGGAGAATGCATGTAAATATCACCTTTAAGGAGCTCTCCAAGAAAGTACTGATTGCTTGCAGAAAACAAAAGAGAGGAGATTGTTAGCTCAAGGTAACTTAAATAAAAGGATCAAAGAATACTAATAAAGAATAAACACAGCCCCCATTAAGCACTTCAGTGACAAAACAAAAACCACTTAGGTACTGTGTCTTCCAAGACTGCATTAAATGAGGGAGACCATTCCTAGGGAGATGACTCAGTAGATCAGGGCAGGTGCCGTGCAAGTCTGAGGACCTGAGTTCAAGTCTCCAGTGCCCACATTAAAAACCAAGCACGGCCACATGTACACCGGCAACTCCAGTGGTGCAGATGCCTCTACAGTAGCAAGCAGAGACAAGACAGTGGCTGAGGCCTGTGGGCACTTAGCTCAGCTCCAAGTTCTGTGAGACGCTGTCCACATGAAGAAGTCAGAGAGTGACAGAGTAGGACAAATGGTGTCCTCCTACGGCTTCTGCAGTCGTTACTTTTCTGTTGCTGGGTAAAATGCTCCCAGAAAGGCAAGTTAGGAAGCAGAGGGCTTGTTTCTGCTTGTAGCTTGATCACACAGGGAAAGGCACGGTGGCAGGGACACGAGGCCTCACCACATTTCATGCACACACGGGGGGGGGCAGGCTACAAAACCTCAGGGCTTACCCCTCCCCAGTGACATGTTTCCTCCATCAAGGGTCCAGCTATTTAAATTTCTATAACCTTTATACTTAGCACCAGTGACTGGGAACCCAGTATTCAGACACATGTGTCTAAAGGGGACATTTCTCATGGCAAAGTACAACAGTTTCAGTGCACACATACATACACACACGCACACACACACACACAGACACACACATGCACACAAAGAGACAGAGAGATAGAGGATAGATAGATGACAGATAGATAGATAGATGGATATGCATTTACACACACATACAATCAGTCAATAAATAAACTTTTTAAAAAGTGCATTAACTGATTGTCACACGCAAGAGACACTAGGTCAGTCCAGACTGTGGAAGATGATAAAAGGTAATGTGGTTGGAGTATTTTAAATGCCAGTGGTATGCAGAACACAGGAAGAGCCAGGAAACTGCTCTTGATCGAAGGGGCAAGACGAAGAAAATTGAATTCTGCATTAGAAAACACAGTTGTCATAAAGGACACTAGTGGGATAATAGATGAAATTAAAACATAAACAATTGATTAGATAATGGAATCAGAGCAATGTTTGCTTTCCTGTTTGACAGTTACCCTGTGCTCATGTGATATGATGCCTTCAGAAATAATTATGAGGGAGTAAACAAACATGACACCATGCATCTCAGTACCAAGTGGGGAGGTGGGAGGGGGTGTCTGCAGACTGTTAACTGTAAGCAGGTCTGAGCAAGTGCACATGGGAGTTCAAGCATTATTTTTGAAGCTGTTTAAGAATAATTGGGCAACCACGACAAAGCAAGTCTTAAAACTTATAATTTTACCCTGACACACAATAGTCCTGGTGCCCATCATGGATTACAATGTGACACCCCCACCCCCACCCCCACCCCTGGACTCACTGGGTTGAGCACTTGGTCTCCAGCTGTTCTGAAAGGTACAGCCTTGCCAGAGGAGTGAGTCACCAGGAGTGGACCCTGTGGTTTGGTCACCCAGCCTCACTTCCTGTGTCCCTCTCTGCTGCCTGACTGCTAACAGTTGGAGTAACTGGCTCACTTCCTGTGCCACATCTTCTCTGCCATGGTGCTTCAGGGCACAGGGGAAGGGGCAAGCAGAAACTTTGGCCCTTTGGACTATGAACCCAAATAATCCTGCCATTCCTGAAGTTGCTTCTTGTCACAGGTAGATGGCAGCAATGAGAAAAACAGTCAGTGTAAGAGTCTCTTTAATTCACAATGCTTCTTAGTCTCCAATGCTGACTATTTACGTGTTAACTATGAATCTCTCTTCATAAAAGTCTTCAACTCTTGGGGACAGGAATCTTTGCTGTTCTTTTTTTTCCCCCACAATCGAATAGCCACTGATTTCTAGGCCTGAGGAGATAGAAAATAAATACTCTTTAAACATTTGATTTCATTTTTATTTATGTGGAGGCATATGCTTTTGTTGGTTGGGTCTGTGCACATGAGTGCAGGCACCCAAGAGGCCAGAGATGTCCTTTGATGCTGACATTATAGAAGGCTGGGAGTCACATTACATCAGGGAATCACCTGATGTCCTCCTGGGAAGCAATCTGTATGCTCTTATTGTGGAGTCATCTCTTCAGCTCCACAGATATTCGTGAGTGAGTGCGTGAGTGAATGAATGAATGAATACCCTGTAGAGTCAAACTGCCTATGTTCAGGTCCTTCTTTATTTGGGCAAGTGTCTAAAGTTCTGTGGAACTCAGTTCCTAAAGAATATTTATTTCTTGGTTTCTATTTTGTTGTTCTTGTTGGTAGTGTGTGCGTGTGCATATGCGTGTTTATGTGTGTGTGTGTGTATTTGCGCATTTATGTTCTTTGGGCTTTGCTGGTGTGAGATTATCTATTGCCTGTGTTTTTTGAGGGTATAGTTAGCTTCATGGGGCTGGGGTTTTCCTTCTAGTAACTTCTGGAAAGCTGGATTTATAGATAGATAACTGTTTAAGTTTGACTTTGTCATGAAATATCTCGTTTTCTCCATCTTAGGTGATTTACAGTTTTGCTGGCTATAGTAGTCTGAGCTGGCATCTGTGGCCTCTTAGAGTCTGCAAAACTCCATTTTGGGGCTGATGGGGGAAGTCCTGTGTATATGTCAATAAAGCACTGTTGGTCAATAGGGAAGCAAGATAGGAGTCGAGAAGGACTCTGGGTAGGAGAAACACAGGGAAGTCGAGATGTAACCACTATAGGGATAAGAAGCCCGGAAAGTTCTCTGGTAAGAGAAATACTTAGATTAACAATTATGGGATAAATACTTAAGTCAGAGCTAGCCAGTAAGAAACAAGCAAGGCCAACAGCTTCATAATTAATATAGCCTCCTGTGTGTTTATTTGGGACTGATGCGGCTCTGGAACCAGGCTGGCGGGAAGGCTTCTCTTTACATGGGGTCAGGTAAAAACCCGGTACAAGGTAATCTCCCAGGAAGACCCCAGCTTAGAATCCTAGAAATAGCAGATATTTGCCTAAACTGGGCATCTTTTGTGACCAGATTGGTGCCTAGCCCAGTTGTCACCAGAGAGGTGTCATCCAGCAACGGATGGAAACAAATGCAGAGACCCACAGCCAAGCATTAAGCACAGCTCAGAGAAGACTGCTTATGCAGAAGAGTGGGAAAGGAGAAGGAGCCAGAGGGGTCAAGTACACCGCAAGGAAACCCACAGAGTCCACTAACCTGGACTCGTAGGGGCTCACAGAGCCTGAACAGACAACCAGGGAGCCTGCATGGGACTGGCCTAGGCACTCTGCATATATGTTACAATTGTGTAGCTTGGTCCTCTCGTGAGACTCCAAACAGTGGGAACAGGGGCTGTCTCCGACTCTTACTGGCTTTTGGGACCCCACTCTTCATATTGGGTTGCCTGGCCCAGCCTTACACCTGGTAAGGTGCTTAGTCTTACTGCAACTTGATATGCCATATTTTGTTTATACTCATGGGATACCTGTCCTTTCTTAACAGAGACAGAGGAGGAGTTGATTAGGGGTGGGACTAGAGGGGCAATGGGGAGGGATTGTAAGGAGAGGAGAGAGGGGAAAATGCCGCTGGGATGTAAAATAAACAAGCAAACAAATACATAAATGTATTTATTTATTTCAAGAAATAATGCTTGTTCCAGGGACTGGAGAGCTGACCCAGTGGTTAGAGAAGCGTGTTGCATCTGCAGAGGACCTGTGGATACATGTGACTCCATACCAATTGGGCATTCCAGGGAAGTAACTATTTACTTAGCTTCCCTGACTCCCTAGGGTGCTGATTTCCAAATTGAGCCATTAAAACATTCAAAATATCCAGTTTTCAGCAAAAAGTTATGAGATATGAAAAAATTAAGAAAATATGACCCTCAAATTGGGGCAAAAAAGCAATGAAAATAAATAAACTCTAAAGGAATCCAGATACTGAGAGCTTAAATTAACTATTTCAAATAGACCCAAATTATAAACAAGTCCCTATATATGGCATTAAAGCAAACTATGAGACTACAGAAACAGTAATAAATACAAACACACACACAATGAAGACATAGAAATTATTTAAAAGGAAACAATCAGAAGTTCTGCAGTTGAAATATGTCCTTACAAAGAAGGAAATCTCACTCAAGAAATTTGAGTGGATAAAAAGAAAAAGGTTGTCTGTGAAGATAAGCCAACTGAGATTCCATAGACTGGAAAAGAGAATTGAAAAAAATGAGGAAAACCTAGTGGAGCTAAGAGACCTGTGGGACAGTCTGGAGTATGTCTAGGCACATATGCAGAAGGAAAACCCCAGAAGAAAAGGAGGGAGAGAAAAGGATAAAAGGAGTATTCAAAGGAATATCTCCAGGCTTCCAAAATTTAATGAAGACATGGATCTATATTCAAAGGAACAACAAATAAATAATAAACTCAAAGATATCTATGGAAAGATTTGTTATACCCAAATGATGAAGTCCAAAGACAGCCTTGATAATAGCAAGGCAGGAGCGAATTGCCATGTACGAAGGAACTTCTGTGAGATTAAGAGCTGGTTTCTCACTAGGAGCTATGCAAACCACAGCACAGTGGATTCATATATTCAAGGTGCTAAATGGAGTGGGGGAGGTTGTTAACCAAAACTTATATATCTCGTAAAACTGTCATTGAAATATGAGGGGGAAATTAAGATATTCCCCAGTTTAAGATAAAAGGATAGAAGAATTTGTCATGGATAATTCTCTACAGGAAATGCTGAAAGGAGACCTCCAATTTGATGTGAAGGGACAAGATGGTAGCAGACGTCCCCATGAAGAAAGCAGACACACAGGCAAAGCCAACTACAATGCTCCATACAAACAGCGTGTTTTGTTTGTAACTCCCTTTTCTGATGCATTAGAGACAACTTCTTAAGGCTAGTAATCGTGAAGCTATGTTGATGGGTGCACAATGCATGGAAATGTGTTTGTGGCACTGTCACAGGGAAATGGAGTCATGTGGATCATGGCTTGTGATACTCTGAAGCTCATTATGACTAGATTGTTATAAATTATGATGCCACTTGTATTCTTCAGGGCAAACAATAATAAAATAGCATTAAAATAGCAGCAATGAAACAACATGTTAGGAAATATCCAGTAAAGTGAAAATAAGGAAGACAAGGAGGAACTAAGAAAAATGTGACAAAAATTAAAGAGAAAAATGACTAAAGTGTTTTCTTGTTATGAAGAGACTATGCTAGATCTACTTTGGAATATTCAAAATATTCTAAGATTCAATGACAAAAACACATTCTATTTTTTAACGCACAAAGTACCCAAGTAGCCATCCCCTGAAAAAAAAAAAGATAATCGTAGATGTCTCTAATAGACACGTGGAAAAATGTTCAGAGTCTTTAATCATCAAAGAGGCACAGATCAAAACCGTAACTAGAGGCCATTGCACACACACTTGGATAGCTATAATTAAAAAGAGAAAAGAAAGAATGTTCCATAGGGACTTGGGGATGCTGGAAGCTTTAGACAGGCCTGGGGGGGGGTGTCAAAATGGGAAAGCCCGCATGGAATGCATTTGGACAGGTCCTGGAGATAAGATGGAATTACCACTCCTCGGTGTGTGTCTGCAGTGATGTGAATGAGAGTGTTTCCTGTGGGTTCAGGCACTTAAAACGCTTTTAGGAAGCTTGTGTGACCTTGCTGGGGTAGACTTTGAGAGTTAAAACCCCGAGCAACTTCCAGTTCAATTTCTGTGCTTTGTGCCGTTTGAGGAGCCCTCAGCTTCCTGCCGCTGCCGGCTGGACTCATCACCCTGGAACTGTAAGGCCAAATAAACTCTTTCTTCTGTAAGTTGCCTTGGTCATGGTGTTTATGACAGCAACAGAAAACTAACCAATACAGTATCCAAAACATCTGAGACTGTATACAAACAAAAATACACGTCAGGGAAATGAAAACCTCAAGGGCTCATGAAGGGATACATAAATACATATTGCTTAGTCTTGGAGTGAACACTGGCATAATCTTTGGAACATGCTGGGGGAAAGAAGTCAGCAGCCAAAGGTTACCTGGGCACGTCCACAAAAAGAAAAGGAAATGGTTTTCAAACTGAAAACCATTTAGAAGTTACTAGAAGCTGGGTGAAAAGGAAGTCTGGATACTTGATGTGAACAGGGTTTCGTTTGAGGATAATGGAAAATTCTGTAATCAATGCTGAGGATAGAACAATCTGAACACTGAAAAGCCACTGAATGTGAGTTATTTTTTTAAAAGAAATAATGAAGCTTGGATGCAGTGGTGCATTTGAACCTTTGTGGACACAATTTTCCTAAACCAGCAAGATGCAGTTTCTGATACTTCTCCTGGGCCAAAGACACACCCCTCTACTCGGCAGCCGTCTCCCATTGGCTAAGCCTCTGGCAGAGGGGTCTTCCAGCCACTACAGCTGGGGCAGGAGGAAGCGGGAGCTGACGGTGTGCGAGGGGATGGCAGGCTTGTCCGGGCACACCTGCCAGTGAAAGGCCTGTGCCTTTCGGTCAGTGCCAGCACAGGGACAGGCGGTCTCGCAGCAGTGTCCCCAACTTCAGGGTGACCTCAGGGAGCATGGCTTTGTGAATGCACTCCCCCCCCCCCCGGGACTTTGCAAGGCTTCTATTCCTTTTTTGGCCTCACATGTCAGCTTTCTGGGAAGACGTTTGTTTCCCAGGGCCCAGGGAAGAGATAATGCCGAGTCTCCGGAGCCTTCTAGAAGTCCAGAATGGACAGTGAGCTGCCGGCCTCTGATTGGAGGAGCTGATGTGAGGGGCGTGGCCAAGGGTTGGGCTTAACGGCCGGAGGGAAGCAGTTGGCCCTTATTTGGCAGGAGCATTTTCTCAGGGATGAAGGCAAGCTGGCCTCTGGCTGATCAGCTGGTTGGTGAGGACTCTGCAGGAGGACAGGGACAATTGTGAAGATGGAAGAACGCCCACAATGTCCGGGCTGAGCCCCGGAGGCCCTGAGCTTAGCGGCCATTACCAGGAAGTAACTCAGGCCCGCAGTGGGCGCCGGGGCCGTACTTACCCCACGTGTTGGAGCGGCTCCCTAGCAGATGTCCGCCGTGCCTCAACTGTGTCTTTGTAGTTCTTCCGGTCTATGCTCCTGCTTGTGGGGAGCCGTGAGCATGGCAAAGCTACCCTCTCGGGACCTCCCATCTCTCCAATGTTGGCAAGTGCTTTCCCCCTCCCTCCTCGGCCCCCTTAGCTCTGGTCCCTTCCTCCCGGGATGGGTGGGTGGGTGGGGTAGTCGGAGGAGCTGCCGAGTTAGCCGAGGGCTCCCCTGGAAGCCTGGAGTCAGGGGAAGCGCGCCCACTTGCCTGAGGAGCGGTGGTGAAATTTCGGGACACACGCTGCGGGTGACTTGATATCGCTTGCTTTCTCCGATGCTTTCTCAAGCCTGTTTCTCCCACAGGTAGTCACTGCTCATAATCATCGACAGTCAAGCTATAACAAAGAGCATGGAGGCAGTCCCTGGATCCGCGGTGCCACTCCCTAGGAACTGAGAAGTCAACCTCGCTGAGTCACTCACCTCGGCTTTGTTCGGAGCCTATATTTTCCCAGCTTGGCCGAGCCCCGTCTATCCAAAAGACCTGTTAGGATGATTACAACTTTGATCTCCCCATTCACCCTCTCCCCTCCCTCGCTCCGCTGCAGTCCTCTGCCTTAGACAGCAGGAGGAAAGCGAGCTCAGCCCTCGGGCTGGACCCCTCTCCTGCCACCTGGAGCAGGAAGTGTGGGGGAGGGGGTAGCGGGCACTCCTCCTCCGGCTCGTTGTCCAGAGTTCAGCTTTGTCACAGAGGTTTTCCCACTTACCATCAACGTTGAAACTTGCCTCAGCCTGGGCGCAGCCGTGCACGTACACTATTTGTTTCCTGTAACAGATCTCCTTGTGGAGAAGGCCTGTGGGATGCAGGGAGCCTGGCCAGTCACCCGGGCCCTATATAAAGACCCCCACGCCCCAGGAAGGGGGAGAGACTTAATAAAGGTTTGCAAAGTGCTTTACAATGCTGACTCAGTTGATGAACTTCACCGAGGATTCCATTCGTGTCCCCACACGGCCCTGGCCCATCCCCAGCCCCTTTGAATGGGCCTCGTGTTCAGTAAGGATGTGATCCTGGCAGGCTTGGTGGACATCTGGCCTGGTTTTCACTGCACATTTAATTTGTGGCAGGGAAGACCCAACGCAACATTTTTTTTTCACCAGAATATCAGATGGTTGGGAAGGGTGTGGGAGGGTAGAGGCAGTGATTCATGTGGAAGTCCTGTAATCTTATGAGTTATATATATATATATAAAACATTTTCCTCCAGCCAGAGAGAAGGAAACACAGTCCCAGTGGGAAGGTGGAGGTGGCCTATTAAGGATGCTGTGAAGATGGAGTCGGTATCAAGAAAGGCCTCTGAATCTTGATGACACTTAAGGGCTGGGGAGCTTGCTGAGCCTGAGGACCTGAGTTCAGATCCCTGGGACCCACATAAAAATCTGGGCCTGGGGGCCCGAGGATGGACGTTCACATCCCTTGATGTCACATAAAGCAGGGTGTGTGGAGACAGGAAAGTCCCTGGAAGCTCATAGACCAGTCAACCCGGGGGTATGTAGTAGCAATGCGACCCTGTCTCTGAAGGTGAGGGCCATCGAGGGAGATTGTCCTTACACTCGCATATGTGCAGTGGCACACACAGCCCACACCCACACTGTGCACAGGTAAGATAATCTTAAACGATGGCCTTGGTGGCAGGCATGCATCTGTAATCCAAGCACTAGAGATATGGAGACAGGAGGCCCCTGATATCACTAGCCAGATAGTTCTGCTAAATTGGTAAGCTCCGTGAGGCCCTGCATCAGTAAGGTGGGAAGAAAGGAAGACACCTATTGTTGACTTCTGGCTTCTGCACGTGTACACACACAATCTTGTTTTCATGTTGTAACACAAAGCTCATGAATGTGCACATGTTACAAGAACATCAAACATCCATTTCCAAGCTTCTGAATTGCCCAGTGGATTTCTTCTTTCCCCTTTTATGTCATGGAAACCAGAACTGATTTCAGAGATAAGTCATCCCTAAGCTTTCTCAGCAGGGACCATGGCGACCTTCTGCCCCAGCGCTGACTGTGGGGGGAGCCTGGCACCTTGATTCTGCATCAACTCTGGGGCTTTTAGGGAACATAAGCAGTGGGTCCTGCCCACATCTGTAGCCATCATTACCAGGCTGTGAAATTGGACTGTAAGAGACATGCTAATGGGTTCCTTTCCTTGCAAGAGTTGTGAATTAAAACATGGAATCCCATGTAATTAGGATAATGCCAGCTGACAGGGACATTGACCGGCAGATCAGCATTTGTTTGGAGACATCTGATCTTTTCTATCCCGGAGAGCCCAGCCTAATACACATATAATGATCATTAATGTCCTGTAATTTATAAGTGTTATCATTGATCCATTACATTCATCATCTTGAGCTGGTGACTCCTCAAATCCCACCGCTTATTCGTGTTCTGTGTAGAGATCTGTAATTTACAGCACAGTAATCTCTAAGATACCCAGGGACCACAGTCATTTCACATTTGGAGATTCTAGAAACAGAAAAGACTCAAGTTCCTTCAAGGAGGATGCGTTTGGGACTGTTGTTCTGGCTGGAGAGGAGAAGCACATATCCTCCAAAGGGTCTTATATCTTATTCTTTTATTCTCCTTTATCCAGTCCTGGAATTCGTGTGTGTGTGTGTGTGTGTGTGTGTGTGTGTGTGTGTGTGCTTTTGTGAGCACAGTACAAAGTTCAGATAAGGGCATTATAAGTGGCCGTAAAATGCACAGTGTGGGTGCTGAGAGATGAACTCTGACCCCCTGCTCTTAGCCTCTGAGCCACCTCTCCAGCATAAACTCACATCTAAAACCCAGTGGCTCAGGAAGTATTTAGTGCTTATCTGGGGAAAATTTAAGGACTTTCCCCACTCCTGCTGCCAAGAGTAGCTTTCTGAGACCCTGGCACTGACACAGCTGTTTGCTCAATGGGCATCTGAGTTCTCATATCAGGTTCAGTGCCCACATGACTCAGGAGGGTCACGAAATCCTGAGGTCCTGGCTGTGTCTTCAGTAACACTGATTCCCAGCCTCTTCCCCGACTAGCATGTGATCTTCTACAAGCTGCTTAAGCTCTGTGTGTGTGTTCTTAGCTGTAAAGTGGACCCTCTTGGAAGCTTTTGAGGAACAAATAACGCATTAAAACATGAGAATGTTAGCTTGACAAAATTTGGACACGCCCCTCTGGGTGTGTGCATGAGGGTGCTTCCAGAAAGGTTTAAAGGGGGGGGCACCCTGAATGTGGGTGGCGTCATCGCCTGGGCTGGAGTTCTAAACTAAGTAAAATGGCCAAGGTGCACTGACTGCTTTGATCAGGGGACTGCAGATCCTGTGTGACCAGCTGCCATGACCTTCCAGAATGAACTGGATTCCTTTAAGCCGTGGGTCAGACCCATAAGCTGCCTTTTCAAGTATTTTGTCACAATGAGAAAGGTAAATAAGACACATGAGGTGACCATAGCATTTAAGAAGTTCTGACTTCTCCCTTCCTGGCTTCTGAAAGTCAGTCAAGACCCCACATTTCCTAAGCAGCCCCGCCCCGCACCTGGCAACCTTCCTCCAGGATGCACTCTGGAGTGATTGGGAGGGAAATCCAGCACTTATCACCCACAGCCAGTCTCCATTCATTACTTCACTGAGACCTGCAAGAGACAACAGGTCCCATGCTTGAGACTCTGCCCCAGGGGATCCAGGACTCAAGTAAATTTGGAGAACAACTCTTCTTCCACCGTGGCTTTATACACAGAGCTACCCAAGGGAGCTTCCCTAGAATGTCTCTGTGGTGGGGGAGGGGAGCCTGCCTTCCCATCAGGAGGAGCCAACAGAGCCCCAAAGCAGACAGGACAAACAATCCTGAGAGCAATGCCAGGGTGGGCCTCCTGGCCTCCTGGCTTTACTAAGGGAAAGCCCACAGGACCACCTGAGCAGTCCCCTGCTCCAGCTCTCTGCCCTTCCCATTTGTCTGAATGTGAACATGGGTGGGCTAGGCCTGGATCCTGGACCTTAAAAGCTCTGTCTTCCCCACTGGACTATTCTGATTATGTCAGCCCCCCTTCTCATCCTGGCCTCTGGACCCCTTCTTTCATGCTCAGCCCATGATGGACAGTGATCTTTGGTGCTCCACATGGCTCATATTGGTCCTGGAGCATGGGGGGAGCCTTGTGTCTGGAGGAGAATTTGGCATCCAGTTCAGTCCCAGCTCAACTCCTCAGGGACCAGGGCCCTTTTTATTTCCCTCTCTCGGGTCTACCTCTCCTGCCTGTGGGGACATTACCTTCCCTAGCTCCACCTCTCCTGCCTGTGGGGACATCATTACCTTCCCCAGCTCCTGGCTGTATTCTTAGCCTCACCTTTACCCTCTCCCTGGCTAGGGCATCATATCCCCTGAATCTAGAGTCACAGGAGGCTGTGAGCCCGGCACATGGGTTGGCTGGGAACGAAGCAGGGGAGAGCAATAAGTACACTTACCCAATTAGCCATCTCTCCAGCCCAGGCACTCTGGAAAGCAGTAATGATTAAGCTGGAACTGGGGGGGGGCAAGAGTAGCATGAGCAATATGAAAGAATGTTCTGGAATGTGACAAGTACTGTTTCTGATATTTTGGATCTCTATATATCAATGTCTCCAGTTGTGTGCCTTCCTTATAAGGCCAGATGCAGGCAGTAAGGGAACTTGGTTGGCCACCCTTGATGATAGGTGCTCTTGCTAGAGGTCCTTCTCTTTAGTTTGAGGTAGAAAGCAAACATGTTACCCTTCTCTTGTTTCCTGATGTTGTTCCAGACTCCTATTTTTCTTAAGCTCAGGGAGAATGGAAGACTCTACACTTGGAGGTAAGACTCAAGAAAGGTTCAGCCCCTGTCTCCTTTACAGACCAAGAGGCAAAAGGTCATGGTTGAACTATATCAGTCTCTGGGTGGTTCTTCAGAAGTGAGAATCTCAACAGGGCTCTTAACAGTGTGGAGACCTAGCAGGGCAGTGGTGGTGCACCTCTGCAATCCCAGGACTCCGGAGGCAGAGGCAGGCAGACCTCTGTGAGTCCCAGGTCAGCCTGGTCTACAGAGAGAGTTCCAGGACAGCCAAGGCTACACAGAGAAACCCTGTCTCAAACAAGCAAACATGTGGAGACCTTGGGGTGGGCACATAGCTCACTGA